CAGCATATCTACAACAAATGGTGGGGACTAAAATATAAGTTCGTAATATCCATCAGTTCGTTATAAGCGTCGTTATAAACGTAGTTTACTGTATGTCTTAAAAACATCAAAACACTAGAGTGTTAGGTACATATGCGTACAGTTTAACACCACCTCGAACAGTATGTCTGTTGTAGCATGGAGAGTCAGCTTCGTGTGGGAGGGAAGCCAAACACTAGAATGTTAGGTACATATGCGTACAGTTTAACACCACCTCAGCAGTATGTCTGTTGTAGCATGGAGAGTCAGCTTCGTGTGGGAGGGAAGGCAAACACACATCACAGACTTTCACCACTTGGTTGAAACGCTGGGCATCATTCCACAAAGTGATCTTAGCGTTAAGGCAATCAAAACTCCTATACTTTAACATGGGCTTATGATGACTGAAGTGCTGAGATCACTTTGTAAAATGGGCCTATGACCTCAAGTAAGATGCATATAGAAACCCCCTAACTGGGGTGAATCTGGCACTCAAGCCAGATCCTGGCACAGCTAAGGGATGCAACTCTGCATATCACACATCAACAGGATATGAAACACAATAGGTTGATATGTTGAAAAGTATTTGCTTACAATCATAAACTCAACTACAGATGTCAATCTCACTAAAATCCGATCTTAGTTCTCTGATTTTAATGAGATTGCTACAGATGTGGGGCGCTTGGGAGTGCAGGATTCATAAGAAGCTCTGTATATCACATAACATGCTGTTCATTGCGGAATGTGCACATATAAGAATAGTACAATCAGAAAATCAAATAGCTATGATCATATTGCAAAATGCCAATCACATACTGATTCCACAGCCAACGACTGACTTGATCATTTCACTACCGAACGTAATCTGAAATATTTATCAAAATCATGCTTTGCTGCAAGCCAGCACCTTCTGAAGAGTCGACACCCTTCTCAAAACTATTATGTAGAGTCTCTTCTATATAGGACTCCAAGCAATAGATACAGTGTTATCCTTGTAGCAAAAACATCTAGATAACAATAATGGCATAAAAAGAGATCATTCAAAGCTGGTGCAGACATTTGCCATATTAGCACTGGTAAAATGATTTGCTAAACATAAAGATCAGTACTGGATAGATAATAAACACAAACAGAATAAACATAAACTATCACAATAAACAAGGAAACTGAATGGCATCCTCATTAACCCATTATGTCATGTCTCCGTTCTAATATGATAAATACCCCCGACCTACTCCCTGCCATACCTAGCTAAAAATAGCCTTCCAATCATACTACTCTCAAGAGACCAATGAAGATCCGGATTAGAATTGGTCTTCAGCAACCCATGCTTGTTGCAAGAGGCAAGCTTGTCGTATCCTAATTGCGTAGATCGATGCTCATGATGTCAATCACTGGATCGTCTGGTCCAGACTTTATTATTTACAGACGGAAATCATACAGCTGAAATAATGCTGAGTGCGGTGTCATACAACAAACAAAAACTTTCATGAGTGAGACAAAATTCTGTGTTACGTTATTACAAGGAGAAAGGGTCTCCTGACATCAGTTCCAAAAGGAAACTACGTAGGTGAATGTGTCCGGGGTATTTATCATTATAGACAATAGAATGGAGATACAATTGCTGGATAATCCAGGACTAAAAGGTACACGCCAGACAAATAGTCATACACAAAGCAATCAAGTTGAAATGGGAAGATGTCATGGATAAGCCATCTGGGATTTCAGAAATGCAGTCAAACATTTGTTCATAAACGTACTGCATAGCAGGACAGTAAAGTCATCATCAGCATAATCAGGCAATGCTAAATATGTGAGTGAGTTTGGTTTAACGCCGCTTTTAACAGTATTCCAGTTATATCGCAGCGTGTCAGCTTAATGTGGGAGGAAAGCCCGAAGTGATGCAAGTCTTAGACGTTTACCACTTCGGTGAAACCCACGAGCACGGGTATGGTGCTGACAAACCTAGAAACATAATCGGGGCGAAACAGGATTCGAACCCACAATCATAGGTTTCTGGCGTTCCTAAGGGACGCAACTCTGCACAGCGAATCGCGGCGCCTTAGACGACTGGGCCACCCGTGCCCCCCAATGCTAAATGACAGCATGGTGCCAGTGTTGAGATATTCATGGGGTGTCAGCTTCATGGTGAGGACATCCTTAAGTGATGCAGTCATTGAGTTTTACCACTTAGGTGAAACCCACATCACCTCTGACAAACCTAGAAACATAATCGGGGAGAACTGCGATTCAACCCACGATCATAGTTTTCTGCGCTGCCAAAGGGATACAACTCTGCATAGCGAATTGCTGCGCCATGTTTGATATGAGGCCATCGTCATGGAATCTTAATGGATGTAATTGTGGACAGAAAGCAGCGGTCTCCCTGGTACTCTTCCCATCTCTCTTACCACCACTATATTAGGTTATGGACCATTTGACCATTTGTGAATTAAATATATCGTTTAAGTGCCTCGTTAATGTCTCTGTGCAGCCTTTCCCAAGTCATGTTTGCACTTTGTCATCCATGTATTGAGTCTTCAGGCGGATGCATTTCAATGGAACTACACAATACTGGTATATGCCTCTTCAGTACACACTAAGCATATTTACGGTCTATAAACTATTTTGTGCCTGCCCCATTAATAACGCTGAATGCATAACAAAAAAATCTGTGTACTGCGATGTTAATTTAAATGTGCTACATGATAAGCTACAATCATTCAGTACATGTAACATTACTTGGGCACTGGTACTGGTCCACATTTTGACTTATCATATCAAGACTATGACATCATTCAGCAATTTTGCAAAATAAACACCTTTTTGTTTCCTCTTGTGGTACATCAAAATTAGGACATATTTATTTCACACTTTCACATTCACACTTTAATAATGTATCATGAAAAGAAACATGTATTGAGATATATACTGTATCACGAATTTATATTTTAAGCCTACCGATCAGAATGTTTCACACAAAAATTATGTAAACCAAGAAATACAAACTAATGCACTGTAGTCAACGGCATCCATTAAAAAATGGATATGAACCTCTTGAGTGAGTGAGTGGTTTGGGATAACAGTATTACAGTCATATCGCAGCGTGTCAGCTTAATGTGGGAGGAAAGCCCGAAGTGATGCAGGTCTCCGACGTTTACCACATCGGTGAAACCCATGAGCCCGGGTATGGTGCTGACAAACCTAAAAACATAATCGGGGCGAACCGGGATTCGAACCAACAATCATAGGTTTCTGGCGTTCCCAAGGGACACAACTCTGCACAGCGAATCATGCACCTTAGATGACTGGCCCCCCCGTGCCCCCCCGTGAACCTCTTGGCGTGTCATTAGTGGGATCAAGAAGGTGAAGTTTCCGCTTCACTGGTCCAGTGAATTCTGAGAAGATGCTAACGACGAACGATGGATAACCAGCCATGACAAAAGCTCACTTGACTTTCAATCAGGTGAGCTGAAACATGCATGATTATATAAAAATAATGTAAAATATGTCTTTCCATTACCTGATTACATTATATCACAATGAAGTGTTCAAAATCTTCAACTAGGTAAAACATTGGACTAGATACTGTTTAATAAATGCTGAAAAAGCAAAATGTGATATCTATCACTGCTACTGACCATGCACCTAATAAATAAGAGTGCTAGTAAACATTTCTAATTTGCATCCAATGAAAGATGGCACTTCTGATCCTGTACATAAGCTGATAAACTACGGGTGAAGTAGTATAGGTGATGGGGGTTCTGGACCTCTGTAGTAGCATTGTTGGGGTATGAATGGTCTAGGGGGTAGTGGTCCAGAACCCACATTGCCTATACTACGGGTGACCATCCACCAAATAAGAATGAGTTACTTACATATTGTTTTCTAATTTTCTTCTTTTCTCAAATTCAGAAGTATTTGAACATTGCATTTTCAGACTGCATTTAATGAACTGATATAAATTAAGCACTAAAACCTCTTCCGATTTATTGGTCCTGTTATCAGTGAAATACAGGTTATCTCTACAAAGCCATAAATTTAGTTATAAGAAATACATATTAACATTAATCGGGACATATTTCATTTAATTTGTTTCAGACCTGGGGAAGAATATTGGACTGAAGGTCAGGATAAATCCATGTTTCTGTCAAGTTTTGATTGCACACGCTCATACATATCACGCTGCTACTGTGACAATGTGGCATGTACATACTTGATTAACAATAATAACTTTGAGATGGGAAAACATCGAGTCATTGGAAAACTTGAGTTTATTTTGGGAGCCATGCTTTACTGCTTGCTATAACCGACTTAGCGCTATATTGAAGAGCGCAATAGCGAGGGAACACTGTATCTGGTTATGCAGTCGTATTGGTGCGGAAATGACGACATTCATGTGCTTATATAAATTCAGGCATGTTCATTTCATGACAAATTAATAGAAATAGAATTTATAAATTGCAGTTACCATGGCAACCCAAATATTTATTTCACTTGAATGACATATTTTGAAAGGAGTATTAATTTTGTTCAGCCTCTATGAACAAAAAAACTCTTTTCCCCTCAGGTCCTGCAAATACTGTATAAACGCGACTTTTCACAGAGTAGACACCATGATGAATTAACTTGTTGAAAATCACTATTCACCCAGACCCTGGGTACTAAAGTAATCAAGGAGTGAATGAATGAATGTGGGAGTGAGTTTTGGTTAACGCCACTTTGAACAGCACCTATCAGTTACACCATGGCGTGACGTCTGCATGTGGGAGGAAAGTCCATGTGATGAAGAGTGTCCATGTCTACGTTTGTGAAACCCTCGAACAAACCAAGGATCATAATCAGGGCAACTCTGGGATTCATTCATTCCAAGATGGAACCCCAAACATTTTTCATATCATATTAAAATGTCATTAACATGTAAATGTATAACATGATGTTAAAAAGCTCAAATTGTTGAACACACTTGCGATATCTTCATAAAAGATCTTCCCTTCTCAAACTGTATCAGATCTGACAGTGCTAAACATAACTATTTTTTTTTTTTTTTGGCCAATTATCTCTTAATGGCAACATGGTGAATGTATTTGAGTATTACAATATCAAGTAGCTCGAAATGAACACTGAATGAACAAAGAATCCTGTTGTCAGAAATTATTCGGAACATATTATATACCACATAGTAAAGGATCACCCAGTTCTTTTATATCACTGTAGTTAATCTGTCATGGCATTACGGACTAACGATAGTAATAAGAAAGAATCTAGCGGTACTTGAGTCGAATATATGTGACACAATCTCTGACCAATACAGGAAGAACTGCCATCTATGTCACTGCTACTGACCGTGCACCTAAAAATAAGAGTGCAAGTAAACATTTCTAATTTGTATCCAATGAAAGATGGCACTTCTGATCCTGTACATAAGCTGATAAACTACGGGTGAAGTAGTATAGGTGATGGGGGTTCTGGACCTCTGTAGTAAGGTGACATTGGGCCAGAACACACATTGTCTATACTACAGGTGACCATCCACCAAATAAGAATGAGTTACTTTGTTAAAAAAAAATATTGTTTTCTAATTTTCTTCTTTTCTCAAATTCAGAAGTATTTGAACATTGCATTTTTAGAATGCAGAGTCGAATATATATGTGACACAATCTCTGACCAATACAGGAAGAGCTGCCTGCATAACCTGCATGTACGAGAGTATAATTATGACCTACGAGTAGCAAAGGGACCCTACGGGAACCTAGGATAAAATTGTGCTGTGACGTCATAAGACGTTTGACGTCAGCTTACTTCAGTCACAATCGCTATGTCTGCAGAATAGTAAAATATTTTATTTCTCTCTCATTGGTTGTAATGTAAAAACACCCAATATTTCAGAACCTTCAATTAATCAGACATTAGGTCTCAAAAACTGCAATCATTACAAAATCAGTTATAAGTCGGAAAATGAGTCCAAATGTTTGATGTCATGTATCTCTGTAATAAATATGAATCGAAGCTTGTGAATTGTATTTTTATGTTCCCTATTGCAGTTTTAAAATATAATGAGAAGTAAAACTGTGACTTTTCACCCATAGGGTCCCTTATATCATGGTGGGTCACAATTATTTTACAAATCAGGATAGATTATCGCAATTCAAAAAGAACACATAGAATACTGAAGACAAGGAACATATCAAGTAAAACTATGAGATGCTAGCAGCAAGCAAGATTCTGTACATAAACATGACCATGCAAGTCATATTCAAGAAGCGCCAGGCTCAATAGTGCCCACTTCCAATCAAACAGTTGTGTTGTCGTTACTGTCTACACACTACAGCCTAGCACCCCTTTAACACTAGTATAGAGCCTAGCACCCCTTTAACACTAGTGTAGGCCTAGCACTCCTTTAACACTAGTATAGAGCCTAGCCCTCCTTTAACACTAGTATAGAGCCTAGCACCCCTTTAACACTAGTATAGAGCCTAGCACCCCTTTAACACTAGTATAGAGCCTAGCACCCCTTTAACACTAGTATAGAGCCTAGCACCCCTTTAACACTAGTATAGGGCCTAGCCCTCCTTTAACACTAGTATAGAGCCTAGCATCTCTGTAACACTAGAGCAATGTACCTCTTTCTTTCACAAAATAGGAACAGTTTCTACAAGAATTACCATGGTCACATATGCATTAAAACAGGAATGTTATATATGTGATGTACAAGAGACAAAAGGAGCTGTAAAATACAATTAATGATTGCAAAGTATTCAAAGATATTCAAAAGTCTCCATACAAATCATAAGAAAGCTCATGAAAATATTTGGTAAGTTCATATATCAGAAACACAACAAAATATATTGGTAGACATATACTAAAAAAAAACACATTTTATTTCTAAGCTATCAAACTTAAAATCTTTCATAACAAGCATATTATACACAAACCCAAGCTTTACATTTTAAGAGTCAAAACACAACATGAACAACACAAAAATATATTTGTAATCCCATTTTGTTCTTTTTCAGGGCAAAATGTCTTTTTAACATTTCTTCTAAAATATCCAAACATGTTTATTGAATGAAAAATATCCAATCTTATGCAGGTTGATAGTTTCTTAGCTTATACTTTAGATAATCTCGTCTCATCTATATATCTTCGCGTAGTTGAGAATAGCTTGACACGCTCTTCCCGCTGGACTTTCCACGATGTTTTTCATAAAATTCTAAATCTTGAACATCAGCAGGGTTGTGTTGCTGGTACTCGTGTCCGGGGACGGCACTGAAGTTGACGCCGTCATGATCTTCCTTCAGCTCCACGGTCCAGAATGGTTTCCTTGGCGGGAAGATCTTCCAGCGCCGATACACGGCAAAGCCCACCACTGCACACAGGGCCAGGATGACGGCGATGCAGATCCCAGCAATCAGTCCCTTAGAAGGACCTGCAGCTCGGGCAGATGCTGATTCGTCTATAATTTCAAAATAAAATTATTCAAATAGCTCCAGACCAGTTCATTTTACATATTTTATGCATGGATCTACCTAAACTTTCTCCAAAACTTACCCAAAAGTAAAACAACAAAACAGCTATCTTGGCTAACATGGCTAAGTTTCATACATGTGTAGACATCATACATCTATTTTTTCCCTTTGGGGTTATGTTCTATATCATCATTGACAACTTTTTTAACTTTTTCATTTAGTCCCCTGCCTTATGTCATACAGATCTAGAGTGAGTGAGTGAGTGAGTTCGGTTTTACGCCGCTTTTAGCAATATTCCAGCAATATCACAGCGGGGGACACCAGAAATGGGCTTCACACGTTGTACCCATGTTGGGATTCAAACCAGTGTCTTCGGCGTGATGAGCGAATGCTTTAACCACTAGGCTACCCGACTACCCCTTACTGATCTAGAAGAATGGTTAAACAAGGAATACAATGTATTTGTGAGTTGATTCTAGCATGTTCAGCAAAGTGGAGTCTTCCAGGATGTGACAGACCTTTCTACCAACAGCAGCCATGATGGCATGGCTCGGCTGACCTACTTCAGGTGAATAAGAAACAACATATTTCTCACTTGCCTTGAAAAACATGGACATCATCTAGAATAAACTACTTGAAATTATTGGGATTATTGATGAATTTATGCAGAGAGTCCAGGATTTGGGATTACAGAATTGACTTGTCATTTCTCATAGCTCTTTTGATTTGACTTGACATTTTTAAGGTCAGGGTCAAATGTGAAAATGGCTGTGGAATATTCATCTTATTGCAATAGGAAGAGCAGACTTCTTTACTTTTTTTACAGTTTTTTAGTCCCAAAGTTCAGGTTGGTAGGTTGAAATTATCAATAAGAGGACAAAGTCATTGATATCCTCTGAAATGGAAAATACTTGGCGTGAATTTATCATCCAAAACTGGCTCCCACAGGAGATATCGCTTGGATGAGATCAAGCGATATCTACACTGTAGATATATCGCTGCAATGAAATTACATCACAATGCTTTGCAGACCATTGTGACGTCACTGGTTACCATGACGTCACAATCAAATGACATCACTAATGGCTCTGCTACTGAAGCTGTTTGCAGTACTTTTTACACTGAAGACACTGCTAATTACTGTCTACAAATTGAAAAAGTTGAAAGAATGATGTTGGATGATAAATAAAATCTCACCCTCGTGTCTTTTGATATCAAATATATCAACACTCGTTGATAAAAGTGGCAAAAATCCTCGGCAAGCCTCGGAATTTTTCCACTTTTATCAACTCGTGTTGATATATTTGATATCAAAAGACACTCGGGTGAGATTCTCTATATGTCAACTAGTTATATATATATTGTTGCCATAGAAACTCGAAAAACATATTTTCAAAAATCCAAACTATCAAATGACACCAGTTCCAGGCCTATCTATGTGCCATGTTTGGCGAAGAAATATTGTACGGTTTTCAAGATCTGCTCCGGAAACAAGCACTACTGTTATTTTCAGTCTATATATAATTTGTTGCCACGGAAACTAAAAAATCTTCTTTTTTTTTAAATCCAAACTATAACAAGTCACCAGTTCTCCACTAGGCCCATCTATGTGCCATGTTTGATGAAGAAATGTAGTACGATTTTCAAGATATGCTCCGGAGACTACATCTTAAACAGACGGATGGACTGACAGTGTCCATTAAATTTTAGATTTCCTCAAAATGTTAAGTAGGTAGGAAAATGAAAAGAAAGAAAAATGGCTATATACTGATGGCAACAGTAAATGAAATTTGACTTATTTATGGTAGAGAAATAAAACATGTCAGTGGAATCCACACGTTTAAAAATAAAGACTGGCCTACCATCATACGATCATAATGAGATTTAAAAAAAGACAAGAGAAACAGCTTCCCACATTATGAAAGTGGATGGCTGGTTTGTTTATTAGAGATAATAATGACTTTTTCAATATAATTACAATGTTTTTCATCTTATTTTATTGAATATCCGCGAGTACCAGCACATGTCTTGCAGTCCGACTTCGCAGTGTTTTGGGCCTTTCACTTCCTGGTTCGGCTTATCTGCAGGTCATATCATTTTTCGTATTTCAATGGTCAAGTTAACACCTCGGCTTACCTACGGGGTCGTCTTATCCGCGGTCATATACGGTAAGCATGATAGTCCATGCTAGTTGAATTCTAGAATGACAAGTTTTGTATGTTTTGGTTTGTTTGTTGTTTAACATGTTTAACGCCGCACTCAGCAACATTCAGGATATATGACGGCGGTCTGTAAATAATGGAGTCTGGACCACACAATCCAGTGACAGACATTGTGAGCATCCTTCTACGCTGACATGGATATGCTGACATGCATCAACCAAGTCAGCGAGCCTGACCACCCGATCCCGTTAGTTGCCTCTTGCAACAAGCATAGTCGCCTTTTATGGCAAGCATGGGTTGCTGAAGACCTATTCTACCCTGGATCTTCATGGGTCCAAATGACAAGTAAAGCATCTGAAGTCTACTCACGGTACAGGATGCAGTGTCTATCTTGAGTTTTGTTCCTGACGAAGCCCGGAAGGCACTTCTCACAGTTGAAGCCGGTGGTGTTGTAGGCACAGTGGGTGCAGGCACCTGGAGAACAGATCACAGGTAGTCACAGTAGTCATGAGCATCGATCTAAGCAACTGGGATACGATGACATCAGCAAGCCTGACACCCGATCCCGATAGTTGCCTCTTACGACAAGCATAGTTGCCTTTTACGTCTCTTAAAGTATGAGCATATATGTATCGGTGTATTGGTCAATACACCTCGTAAAGTATGAGCATATATAAGTGATGAATGTGGTCAATACACCTCGTAAAGTATGAGCATATATGTGTGGGTTTATTGGTCAATACACCTCATAAAGTATGAGCATATATAAGTGGTGAATTGGTCAATGCACCTCGTAAATTATGAGCATATATGTGTGGGTGTATTGGTCAATACACCTCGTAAAGTATGAGCATATATAAATGGTGAATTGGTCAATACACATCGTAAAGTATGAGCATATATAAGTGGTAAATTGGTCAATACACCTCGTAAAGTATGAGCATATATAAGTGGTAAATTGGTCAATACACCTCGTAAAGTATGAGCATATATGTCAGATAAATGAACAGTGATAAATGTGTTTTGAGAAGCTGTGCTTTCTTTGTTGTTGAACGCCGCATTTAGCAATATTCCAGCTATATGACGGCGGTCTGTAAAGAATCAAGTCTGGACCAGACAATCCAGAGATTGACATGAGCATCGATCCACGTACTTGGGATATGATGACATGCATCAACCAAGTCAGCGAGCCTGACCACCTGATCCCATTAGTCGCCTCTTACGACAAGCACAGTCGCCTTTTACGGCAAGCATGGGTTGCTGAAGACCTATTCTACCCCGGATCTTCACGGGTCTACCTATTGTTCCCTGGATCTTCACGCTGTGAGCACAGAAGCATGGGTAGAGTAGGTGGAGGAATCTACCTGTGTAGGGGTCGCACACTCTGTTTGCTGCGGGGTTGTTGTTGCCATTGCAGTGGCAGGGAACACACTGGCCGTGGTAGCGGTAGTAGCCGTTGATGCACGACTGACAGAGATGTCCGGTGTAGTGGGGCTTACAGGCGTTGCATACCAGGTAACCTTCACCTGAAACACACATTATACACCAGGTAACCTTCACCTGAAACACACATTATACAACACTTAACCTTCACCTGAAACACACATTATACACCAGGTAACCTTCACCTGAAACACACATTATAATTTATACACCAGGTTACCTTCACCTGAAACACACATTATACACCAGGTAACCTTCACCTGAAACACACATTATACACCAGGTAACTTTCAGCTGAAACACACATTATACACCACGTAACCTTCACCTGAAACACACATTATACAACACGTAACCTTCACCTGAAACACACATTATACACCAGGTAACCTTCACCTGAAACACACATTATACACCAGGTAACTTTCACCTGAAACACACATTATACACCAGGTAACCTTCACCTGAAACACACATTATACACCAGGAAACTTTCACCTGAAACACACATTATACACCAGGTAACCTTCACCTGAAACACACATTATACAACACGTAACCTTCGCCTGAAACACACCTTATATGACATGTAACCTTCACCTGAAACACACATTATACACCAGGTAACCTTCACCTAAAACACACATTATACACCAGGTAACTTTCACCTGAAACACACATTATACACCAGGAAACTTTCACCTGAAACACACATTATACACCAGGTAACCTTCACCTGAAACACACATTATACACCAGGTAACTTTCACCTGAAACACCCTTTATACAACATGTATCCTTCACCTGAAACACACATTATACACCAGGTAACTTTCAGCTGAAACACACATTATACACCAGGTAACTTTCACCTGAAACACACATTATACACCAGGTAACTTTCAGCTGAAACACACATTATACAACATCTTACTTTCACCTGAAACACACATTATACACCAGATAACCTTCACCTGAAACACACATTATACACCAGGTAACTTTCACCTGAAACACACATTATACAACATCTTTCTTTCACCTGAAACACCCTTTATACAACATGTATCCTTCACCTGAAACACACATTATACACCAGGTAACTTTCACCTGAAACACACATTATACACCAGGTAACTTTCACCTGAAACACACATTATACACCAGGTAACTTTCACCTGAAACACACATTATACAACATCTTACTTTCACCTGAAACACACATTATACACCAGATAACCTTCACCTGAAACACACATTATACACCAGGTAACTTTCAGCTGAAACACACATTATACAACATCTTACTTTCACCTGAAACACACATTATACACCCAGTAACCATGGTAACATTCTACTGAAACACTCACGGTAGTAGCATGTGGGACTGTTGGTGGCCAGGGGGCTGCAGGGGCACCTATTGCAGGGGAAGTAGGGGGCGCTGCGGTAGAATCCAGGGCGACATATCTCACAGAAGGAACCAGTGTACTGTGGGTTACACTGGCACATTCGCCCACTAGAATAGTCACAGGAGGAATTCCGAACAGAGCCGAACAGGGAACAACTGCATTCTGAAAAGAAATTTATATCTGTTTTATAACAAATACAACATACCAAGGTCTTATTGTTATATAGAAATTAGTGTGTGTGTGCATATGTGATTGTTGTCCCAAACATTAGGTTTCTAGACACTTCATTTTCCTCTTATTGTATGTATTAAATTGTTCAGGCCAAATTAACAAAAGATCTGCCACGACTTTTGACAATTAGTAAGCATGGCTTTTACACATACTAGAGGGTGTCTGTTTACAGTGAATATATTAAACACAACCTGTGAACCATCTGCTGTTATTGTACGAGCCATAATGTCTGCCTACTTGTGTTGGGAGATATACAAGACGTAATGAATGTCTACTTGTGTTGGAGATACGAGACATAATGTGTGTCTACTTGTGTTGGGAGATATACAAGCTGTAATGTCTGGCTACTTGTGTTGGAGATATACAAGCTGTAATGTCTGCCTACTTGTGTTGGAGATATACAAGCTGTAATGTCTGGCTACTTGTGTTGGAGAAATACAAGCTGTAATGTCTGCCTACTTGTGTTGGGAGATATACAAGCTGTAATGTCTGCCTACTTGTGTTGGAGATATACAAGCTGTAATGTCTGCCTACTTGTGTTGGGAGATATACAAGCTGTAATGTCTGGCTACTTGTGTTGGAGATATACAAGCTGTAATGTCTGGCTACTTGTGTTGGAGATATACAAGCTGTAATGTCTGGCTACTTGTGTTGGAGATATACAAGCTGTAATGTCTGGCTACTTGTGTTGGAGATATACAAGCTGTAATGTCTGGCTACTTGTGTTGGAGAAATACAAGCTGTAATGTCTGCCTACTTGTGTTGGGAGATATACAAGCTGTAATGTCTGCCTACTTGTGTTGGAGATATACAAGCTGTAATGTCTGCCTACTTGTGTTGGGAGATATACAAGCTGTAATGTCTGGCTACTTGTGTTGGAGATATACAAGCTGTAATGTCTGGCTACTTGTGTTGGAGATATACAAGCTGTAATGTCTGGCTACTTGTGTTGGAGATATACAAGCTGTAATGTCTGGCTACTTGTGTTGGAGATATACAAGCTGTAATGTCTGGCTACTTGTGTTGGAGATATACAAGCTGTAATGTCTGGCTACTTGTGTTGGGAGATATACAAGCTGTAATGTCTGCCTACTTGTGTTGGAGATATACCAGCTGTAATGTCTGCCTACTTGTGTTGGGAGATATACAAGCTGTAATGTCTGCCTACTTGTGTTGGAGATATACCAGCTGAAATGTCTGGCTACTTGTGTTGGAGATATACAAGCTGTAATGTCTGCCTACTTGTGTTGGAGATATACCAGCTGTAATGTCTGGCTACTTGTGTTGGAGATATACAAGATGTAATGTCTGCCTACTTGTGTTGGAGATATACAAGCTGTAATGTCTGCCTACTTGTGTTGGAGATATACAAGCTGTAATGTCTGCCTACTTGTGTTGGAGATATACAAGATGTAATGTCTGCCTACTTGTGTTGGGAGATATACAAGCTGTAATGTCTGGCTACTTGTGTTGGAGATATACCAGCTGTAATGTCTGCCTACTTGTGTTGGAGATGTATGATATGTAACATGTGCCTACTTGTGTTGGAGATATACAAGCTGTAATGTCTGCCTACTTGTTTTGGAGATATACAAGCTGTAATGTCTGCCTACTTGTGTTGGAGATATACAAGCTGTAATGTCTGCCTACTTGTGTTGGAAGATATACAAGATGTAATGTCTGCCTACTTGTGTTGGAGATGGTTGAGCCGAATGTCTAGCTACTTGTGTTGGAGATGTATGAACTGAATGTCTGCCTACTTGTGTTGGAGATATACTAGTTGTAATGTCTGCCTACTTGTGTTGGAGATGGTTGAGCCGAATGTCTAGCTACTTGTGTTGGAGATGTATGAACTGAATGTCTGCCTACTTGTGTTGGAGATATACTAGTTGTAATGTCTGCCTACTTGTGTTGGAGATGGTTGAGCCGAATGTCTAGCTACTTGTGTTGGGAGGTATTCAAGCTGTAACATGTGCCTATTTGTGTTGGAAATGTATGAGACGTAATGTGTACCTACTTGTGTTGGAGATGTTGGTGGGGGTTGTCTCCTCTATGCTGGTTGAGTTGAGGACGTCTCCGGACGTGAAATGTGCCGAGATGAAGATGCTGTACGTGGTCCCATGCTCCAGATTTGTAATATTGTACTCCGTCTGATTGGCTGCCACATCCTGTGTCATCACCACCTGACCTGCAGAAACACACTACGGAGTAAGAGAGAGATTTATGCTGCTTTTCAGTGTGTTTAAAAATTTGGATTTTTTCACAGTTGTTATTTTCTTAGATTATATTTCAACATTGCATTTAATTCATTTGCATAAAACTGAGGAGTAAACATGGTAAAGTCTTTTCAATTTTATTGGTCCTGTAATCAGTGATATACAAGTCACTTGTGCAAAGCCGTAACTGTAGTTTTAACTATACTAAGATAATTTTGGGAAATTATAAATTCCAATTTGAGAATATTTACAGGTATTTGTTGAAAGACTTTGGGCTAAATATTGACCTCTGGGCAGGTCTAGATTAATCCCTGTGCTGACAAACCTAGAAACATAACCAGAGCAATATCTAATCCATGAACATAGGTTCCTGGCATGCCAAAGGGATACAACTCTGCACAGCAAATTATGTCTCCCTATACCATGTATACAACTAGACCACCCGTGCCCTTGCAATTAACAAAAGTTGAAGTGAAGGTAGCTGACATAACTAACCATCTTCTTTCTTGACACAGTTGACGACATACTTCTCGACACAACCCTGATCAAAAGGAACGTGTACCATGAGGTCTCTTGAGTCCGAGGAATTACTGTCAATTTTATTATTTACATAATTGACAATATCATTGACAGTCTTCACCATATGCTCCACTGTGTCGATGCTCTTAAAGGCTTCTTGAGACAGGCACTTTGGCTTGTACGCCAGCAATTTACTCCCTCCTGGCTTATCTCCCTTGGATGAAGCGTTAACTGGTGTAGGCACTTCACCTTGGACAGTGCTGACATCTCCGGTCGGTGGCTCGAGGGTGGCAGTCACAGTTTCATTCACAATATGGGTTTTGTTCCAATATGAAACATCCCTGCTGTATTCTGTGGTGACATTGTCGTCAACTTCATGCAATGGATACACAGCAGGTGCAGACCACTCAATGACAATGTTGGTACTGAAGACTTCCATCGCTGTTAGGTTGGTGGGGGGCTTCAACCGAACGTTAATCTGAGATTCACCTGTAACATACAATAGGCATCTAGAATATTTACATGGAAGGGACTTAAAAAAGCCATACATAAGTCAAATTTGTTGTCAGTGATCAAGCAATAGAGGTGATGTGAATTGGGATTTAATGCTGCATTCAAGATTATTGCACTTACATAGCGATGTGCATGCATGTGTATGCGTGTGGCTGCTTGTACTAGTCCGGACTAATGCCGATTTTATAGTGCTAGTCCAATGAGATACTATGCCGCAGTTTAACATGAATACCCCACTCAGACACAGTATACTGACTCCGAGCCAACCAGTCCTTGTTTTAGCCCCTTAATGCAGAGCGCCAGGAAGGGTAACAGCAAGTACCATCTTTTAACGTCTTTAGGTATGAAGAGGCCAGGGATCGAACCCCCAACCTTGCTCTCCCTGGGCAGACACTCTACCACTATACCATTGCAATTTTGTATCCCTTCTACTCTTAGATTCATGTCAAAAAAGGGATGACACATTCACAAGAAAACTGTCATGGACGCTTTCAAGCTTAACATGCTCAGTAGGGGCTCTTGTGAAGATTACTTACAGATGGTTCTAGAAGTTAGTCAGTGGGCCCTTGTTGGAGCAGGCCGCTCAATACGACAAATATGATTAATCATATTGTTGGTAAGATAAAAAAACCTTAACAGCCTGACAGTGAGGAAATTTATGCAAAATTTAATTATTAATTTAATCATGTTAATAAACAAATGGCTTTCTCGATTTCATTCTGTTATATTTTCGACAAGATGAAATCTGCAATTATTCAAACCCAGTACAAATAACTCTAATAATGACATCCCATATCATGTATATGCAAGCAAAATGCGTGAATCACATGTGGTGAGAGGGCCAGTCATTTTATTATTTATAGTACTCGGGTGTTTTGGGATGGGTTATAGGACTCTTGTAAGAGGGACCAGTCATCAAATGAACTCAGTTTGTGATTTATGGTTGAAGGTCAACCAGAACAGGGGAAGGTCAGTCATTAAGAGGCATAACATGCTTGTGGGAACTGGGTCATGGAAAAATATTTTAGTATACTGTCAAATTGCTTCCAAACAATAAGGCATTACATGAAGGGATGGGAGGCTTACTATAACAATGTCTGACATGTGGAAGAATGTGCATAGGGCATGCTGGGATATGCGCTTACATCATGTACATAAATGGGAGGCTTACTATAACAATGTCTGACATGTGGAAGAATGTGCATAGGGCATGCTGGGATATGCGCTTACATCATGTACATAAAACCATGTAGTGTTCAGGGGAACACGATCTATACCAAGAACAAAGAGCAATTTCTCAACATACGAGGTGTTCAACAAACTAGTGCCACTGCCATTATGGTGATACAGACATATAGTAAGGGCTGAAAGAGTCAAAGTAGCCTCCAACATGTATGACAAATTCATAACCATGGATAAAATATGTAATAAATATTATAAATATAGTAATCATGGTTACAAAATATCAATCATATTGAAAAGAATCATAGAATATAAGATATGATACATCGCGTACATCAGTGAGTGACATTTTAACGATATTCCACAAGGGACACTGGAAAGGGGCCTCACCCTTGTACCCAAGTGGGAAAATTAACCCAGGTCTTCGGTGTGACGAGCGATCGATTTAACTACTGGGCTACCCAACCATCCCCAACAAATCAGTCATCGTCAACAAACATATGGACATTAATATTTACAAATATTTCAAAATTAAATACTTTTATCATAATTGTCATGAGTCTTTCCGAACATTATTCCTAAAAAAAATTATAAAAAGAATGTCTAATTTGTTGCAAAAAAACAAGTGCAAATACATGCATCATCGATCATCCAGTGTGTTGTATGGGATTATCTCCATAACATTATAAAGACACTGGACCTTTTTCTGAACATGATTCAAATGAGACAACACTAAACATCCTAAAGATAGCCATCCAATCAAATTACTTTCATCATGCTTTGTGCTAAGATAGCGATAAGAGAGTGAGTATGGTTTTATGCTGATTTGAGCAATATGCCAGCAATATCACGGCAGGGGGAACCAGAAATGGGCTTCACACATTTTGCTCATGTGGGGACTCGAACTCTGGTCTTCACTGTGACGAGCGAATGCTTTAACCACTAGGCTACCCCACCGCCCCGCAGCAATAACAGAGACAGACATAGAGATGGTGACATCACTTCTGAAAAAAAGCTTTCGTGGCTAATACGACAGATGAGTGGGACAAGCATATTTATCATCATGATCATAACACCATAGTCATATGATACACAGTATAATCAGGATGAAATATATTTGGTTATGTATGGATGCAATTAATGGCAGAACATTATAAACTAACATTTACTATCAAAATAGACACAAAATAAGGATAAGTACATCTTACATTTCGGACATTTTGCACTTCAATTAGTGCCACACCATTACCCTGAAGACATCTCTAACAGGGTCCTGAGGGGTATACTGTTTAGCAATGTTTAGTGCAGGGTTTTACATGACGCACAAATGTAGAGAATGGAGGCAGAAAAAAATATACTGATTCCCGAAGGACACACAATAATATTCATTGTACTTGGGCTGGGACAGGTAACTCGGGTACTCGGGTCTGGTGGGTCCTGAGTAGGACCCAGGTACCCACAGGACTACCCAGACCCGTGGTTGGTCACGTGATATATTGTTCAATGACAAAAATTATCTAAAACTCTATGGTAATACTATTAGTCACTAATGATCCCATTTATTTTTTAACCATGCACCCATTCCTTCTGACTTTAATATGTTTGAATAAAGATAAAACTTCATTCAGTAAACTTCAGTGTGTGCATGACCAGATCGTTTTACATGCGTACAGGGCTACGGTCAAACCTTTCCAAATCTGACAGTTTGTACCCATCTCTAAATATCTACCCTGATCTACAGCGTGTACCCGGGTAGTGACTTTGGACTCGTCCCAGGCCTACATTGTACCTAGGGCACATCAAGAGCAGTTATGGGTATCTGTCATTTCATCCATCAACAATGACCACTGTCCACATGCTCATTGGTGCATTTCAGGCCCTAAAGTAATAATCAAGATGTACAGTACTCTACACGATTTCATTACTTTACAGGACCCTCATATTGCCAGTTTTGTAACTCAAAGTAAAACCCTGTTAGTGCAAAACAACTAAAAAAACATTATCGTAAACATACCATGAGTCAATTTTTCATCGTAAACAAATAACATAAAAACTGCTTAAACTTCACTGTTTATCGTAATCATGCAAAAATTGTAAATGTGGTGTATAACTTGGTTTAATGACACAACAAAACAGTTTTCGGTACCTGCAAAACATGAATTACAGTATTGAAATAAAAGCAGCAGCAGTTGTCTCCAAGTGAATTACAGTATTGAAATAAAAGCAGCAGCAGTTGTCTCCAAGTGAATTACAGTATTGAAATAAAAGCAGCAGCAGTTGTCTCCAAGTTCCCTACATGCTGGCTGACGATCGACATTGAGATGATTTTGCATTTGAGAGGGAGGGAGGGAGGGAGGGAGGGAGGGAGGGAAAGAAAGAGAGAGAGAGAGAGAGAGAGAGAGAGAGAGAGAGAAAGAGAGACAGAGAGAGAGAGAGAGAGAGAGAGAGAGAGAGAATTTTAGTTAAATAATTCTGCTTGAAATGTCGTTTCAGGTAACTTCTGAGCTTGTTTCCTGCCCCAACTGTATCAATATCACAACAGTATAAGTGTGTTAGGCAAGACACAGCATCTTTACGCATTATTCATTACAGTAGACATGGTAGAGTTCAAGTACATGTCGTACAATGTAATACTTGTCCACACAGTAGTCAATGTATATGTGATGCCTTTATACAATGGATGGGAAATAAAGATGTGTAAACAAACACAGGTATGCAAGCTAATCGGATACATTACGTAACAGAGCTCCAGATAACTGAGTTTTTACTAAAGGGTTTCTATCTTAAATGGGTTATTACATTTTTCATTGGGTAACCAATATTTTTTCTCTCATCTATTCATCACTCTACTGGATTTTTCGCAAAATAAGGGAACATTTCAAGATTTAGAAAAAAACTGAAATAATGTTTCAGCTGTATATAACTGTTCTAAATACCTAGGCTTGACTCGGAAAGTAAATTAGCTCGTAATTGTGTTTTGGAAATTAGCTCCTTTGTACGCATGCTGAAAAAGCTTCATTGGGTATTTACGCATGCTGTTTTTATACATTTGAGTTTTTCATTTAATGCATGCGTTTCTGTATGCATGTTAATTGAAAGTAATTGGGTTTTGAATATTTTGGGGGGGTATATTATGCAAATATGCTTCTTATCTGTAGCTCTGGGTAATTATGCAGTTTTCATACCATTGGCATTTTATAACATTTTTAGGTATATTTGTACGAAAGCAACTAAAACTTGATTGGTAATGGTGAATTATTTGGTGTATTTTACACAAATACGCATCTTATCTGGAGCTGTGGGAACTGATGTTAGACAGCAACATAGATATTCCACTGAACAGACTTAGACCAAGTCATCCCTCAGTGAGTTGGGTTTAAGGCCACTATGAACAGTATTCCAGTTATATCACAGCGTGTCAGCTTAATGTGGGAGGAAAGCCCCAAGTGATGCAGGTCACAGATGTTTACCACTTCGGTGAAACCCACGAGCACAGGTATGGTGCTGACAAACCTAGAACCATAATCGGGCAAACCAGGATTTGAACCCACAATCATAGGTTTCTGGCATGCCCAAGGGACGCAACTCTGCACAGCGAATCGCGGCGCCTTAGACGACTGGGCCTGCCGTGCCCCCTCATCCCTCAGTGGACGCCTCTGTATATCATAACCAGGATAGTACCAAAGTACCAATACAAATGGCAGCAAGGGCACATTTCTGTATTTGATCTTATCGAGGAACCATTTCTGTAGTATCCCTACCATGTATACGTCGTCTCCTTCTGGATTGGTAATCAACTCCACCATTACCCATGTAAGTCAATCTGACAAACTGGGAATAATTTTGTTTTGTTTGTTTCTTTGTTGTTGAACGCCACGCTCAGCAATATTCCAGCTATATGACGGCGGTCTGTAAATAATTGAGTCAGGACCAGATAATCCAGTGATTGACACCATGAACATTGATCCATGCAATTGGGATACGATGACATGCATCAACCAAGTCAGTGAGCCTGACCACCTGATCCCCTTAGTCGCCTCTTATGGCAAACAGTCACCTTTTACGGCAAGCATTGGTTGAATGAAGACCTATTCTAACTGGGAATTTTCAAGGGTCAACTGGGTACAAGACAAACGGGAGATTCCTTGAATATATATCATGTAATGATGTATATAGTACACAATTAAGTGTTAATACTGTTCCTATTCAGCACTGTAGATTCCTATCACTGTAGACCCACACTGCTCCTACAGAACTCATTATGCTATTGAAAGACATACTGGTCACCAATCAGTTATCACCATTTCTTTCATGTTATTTCTGACATATTTCATGTACAGGGTTAACTGGACCAATAACTTTTATTTTTGGGAAACTATGAGCAAATGCGCTTATTTCTGTCTGTGGAATTAGATTCAGTTGATTTCTGTAATAACGCTATGATAAGGAATCAAAACAGTGGAAATAGAACTTTCCCATTGACTTGCTGTTCCAGTTATCACCATTGTCTTAAAAGCACAGCCACATGATCATGCTCTGCGCTTCAGATATACAAATTACATTTTTTAGTATCTCGGGTATCACTCTCGAAATTTGTATTCATCAAATAAATATGAAACACTATTATCAATTTGGTGTAACTGACAGAAACCAATATTCCCCAAATTCAATGTAGACATGCTTAACTATGTAGCCTGCAACCTCGGGGTATCACGGTACTTGTCATGTACGCTAAACGGAACAAAATGCACTCACTAACCTTTATGATTATTCGTGTTCTCTGTATCAGATATCATTCATGTTATCAAACAATGCATATTTTACTGATAAAAGTTCATTATTTACATTATTAGCTCCGAGTAAAAGCCGGGCCTCGCGCTCTGTTTGACAAGGGAGAGAACTCCATCGTATCGCGGTACAGAGAAAAGTTGTGTATGGAGGTCCGAATTGGACAAAAAGAGGACATAATTCTACCAACCACTTGGTATGATCATGCCAGACATCAGTGATTTGTCCAGACAAGTGCAAAGACAGCACAAATAAATTCTAAATGTGTTATCAGCAATAGGTATTCAATGCATATTTACCGAAAAGTAAGAGAAAAATATTTTTATAAGTCAACATCAAAATATCAGAAATTATATTTTAAGATTGTTTAAAAAAAATTGGATGACAATAATTTGTCACAAAATGGAAAAATGTTAAAAGTCAACAATAAATATATAAAAAGCACTCCTAGTATGCCCAAAGTATGTATTTATCTTTTGGTTACTAGTGAAGAACGTATTTCTAAGTTTGGCATTATGGCCCTTATGATCTCCCAATAGATTCTGGGCACAAAGCGGGAAAAAATGTGCGGACTACGTAACTTCTGTTACCTCATTAGTCACCATGAATATGCAGATGATCTAGTTCAGGTCGATAGAGAAAGTTTACTTGGGGAACTGCGGGTTATATATTTGGCCATTGATAGATGGGGGTAAGGCAATATTACAACAGATGCCAGAAATATGTATCAACGGATTATGAACTCCTTACTTACAGCAGACAGAACATTCCGAGCAAATTGAAATGTTTACGAAGTGAGCACTTCCTGGTTACTGATTTGCATTAATAGACAGCCGCTAAGAGGTGTGTCCCGCGTGAACTATCGGAAATCACAAATGCTGTGATACGATGAATGCCGCGGTACCATGGGGTCCGAGTATACTATAGATATTTTGCGATATATACAGGTTTTTAATTTTTGGATATATAGAATCTAGCTCAAATAAGTTTCAGAATATTATTTTGGGGAAGAAATGACAGACGGATAGAAAGCAATGACAGAACTGAAAGTACATCATCGTGTTCCTTGATTTACATTTCCGCATGAATTAGTCACGTGACGCTGCCTACGCGTCTTCTCTAAAGTTGTATTTGAGCAAGGTGATTATGGTGGATTTTTTAAAATATTTCCTCACATGAGTCATTATTTTCAGATAAATATTTCTGCCTTCCAATGATAACCAGCTAAAGTAAAATGAGATGCGATCACGTGCAGGCTATAACGGGGAGCTGGTGATAATTGGTCCTCCGCAATAACTGTCCTCTACCCAGTATATCTAAATTAAGAAATTACTCAACATGACATTGTTCAACAGGGAACCCAATGGTACAGTTTATGTCCCATGTATGATAATATACAAAAGTGAATGAAAACCTGTCATAATTAGATGTCAGTACAGTTATAATGGTGAACCATGTTCAGCCTACGTTAGAGAGATATACATAAAGAATGCCAGACGATGAGCTTGTTTTCAAGCTATTCTTAAACATGATGCAAATAAATGCCACATTATGCTATAACGTATCCAATGGAATTCACTAAAATAGTTTCTTTCTGTCTCTCAGGTCAGTAAATATCTTCATCTGTGCATATTTTAGTTATTGTTTATATGTTCCTTGGGTGTACAGTACAGGTAGACATGTCATCCGCCCTAATGATTAAAACATTCGTCAACAAGTTAGGCCTATAACAATAAATACTAGCCCTAATTTTTAAGCATGTCCTGAGACAGGTAAAAATCTTGATTTACTGTCAGGTATGTGACTATGCTAAAACTCCGAGCCTACAAATTCAGAAATCAGTAACATATTTGATCAAATACTGAGGACCCAAATTATTATCTGAAATTATCCACAAAATCGTCAATTTGCAAGCATTACTTTTACACACCTGTTTCGTTCGTCTTCGCCTCGGGTCTGGCGGTGCTGTCATCTCCCTGAATCACCTGAACACAACACAGTATAACCAAGCAATAGATTGTTGTCATTTTGTAATCACCAGGCGATCGAACGTATTCCGAATGAGACAACTTTCAGAATATTCTTGCGATTCATCTGCTCAATACCTCAGCTGGTCAATGGCGCACCTCGTTGTGGGAAATCAAAGGGAAGTAATTCCGATTTACAACGGGAGGTAACCACTCAAACTATCTAGACTTTATCAATCCATTTTCGGCTTTAAATAATCAGTTTTGTATATATAAAAATCTGTAATTATGAAGATCGTGGACGAATGGTGTTATATCTGTTATCCACATAGTAATAATTATTATTGGCTATGTTAAAAAATGCATACGAACAGACCCATGTAATAAGGATTTCATACACTCTACATCATTGTTCACGTATCACAGTCATCATTGTTGACGTAATAGGCATCACGGCTGACGTAATGCTCAATGACGTCATAATGTATGATGATGTAACAACATCCAATTGATTCACTGCAGCGATTCCTAAACGCACGCAAGCGCGAACGCTCACACAGTAATATTGTGTTCCCTGGTTCTGTTAAGAGATGGACCCTCAATTAAATTACCATTTCACACGGCTGTTGTTGTTTTCGTTGTTGCTGTTGTTTATGCGCAATCAGCAATGTTCATTTAGTAACTTTAAGGTGTTTAAATACAATCGGACTAAATAATATAAAGCACGACATTTATCTCAAGATCTTGTGTATAAGATAAACCAAATCTCATTAACATTCCGACAAACAAACAATCATTAAAAGCCGATCTTAGTTCTCGCTATCACCGCAAAACAAAGCGGTAGCGATGACTAAGATCTTATTTTAATAAGATTGAAGACCTGACAACACTCCGCATATCGAAACTCTATCTGTCTTGAAATAGGTACACAGCAATACTGGAAGGTCTCATGTGTTCCAGTGTAGTGAGTGAGATGGGTTCAACGCCGTTTGGATTGTTTGTCTGTTTGTTTGTTGTTTAACGCCGCACTCAGCAATTCCTGCCATATGATGGCGGTCTGTTAATAATCAAGTCTGGACCAGACAATAGAGTGATTGACACCACGAGCGAAGACATGCATCAACCAATCCGATCTCTTACGACAAACATAGTCGCCTTCTACGGGAAGCGTGGGTTTCTGAAGGCCTATTCTATCCCGGATCTGAACGGGTCACGCCGCTTTGAACACTATTCCAGTTATATCACGGTGTGGCAGCTTAACGAAGTGATGCAGGTCTCAGACGTTTAGTTGTAATGGAATCAATGGCATCTTTTTTTTCCATTATTCTCAATCAATTTTCCCAAATGTAATAACTTAATAGATAATAATAAAGACCCGTGGAAAGATAAATTGATATTGAATCACAGTGCATCAGTCTTTTAACTGGTTTCTTAATTGTCATACGTGACAGATATACAGTACACAGACTTCCCTTCAATCTAATATTCATATCTTTAGCTGGTGAGAGTTAGGTTGGTTTTACTTCGCTTTTATCAATATTTCAGCTGTACATCACGGCCTGCCAGACCATCTCCGTGGTCCAGTGGTAGAGCGCCTGTCCGGAGAGTGAAATGTCCGGGGTTTGATCCCCGGCCGTGGCATGTAAAAGACGTTAAAATATGGTACTTGTTTGGCATTATGGGTATAAACAGGGAATGGTCGGCTCGGAGTCAGTATATTGTGTCTAAGTGAGGTATTCATGTTAAACAGCGGCATGGTATCTCAGTGGGCTAGCACAATAAATCGGCGCTACACACGCACGCACACACACACACACGCACGTGCACACACATACAACACGCACACATACACACACACACACACACGTGCATGCACGTTGCTATGTAAGTGCACTGTGGATATGGATATAATGGGTCGCAGTAACGCAGCTTAACAAACAAACATGATACAAAGTCGCGAATGTTTTCCAGGGAAATAAAAATTCACTTGCGTTTCCTTGTGCCATTTTGATAAACGACACCCCAACACATTCTTGTATCGATACTAGCGCCAAGACAGAGAAACCATGCTTCATGACGACTGCATGCTGGCCAGACTGTACGAATGGTTGCCAATACTTTTAATGTCCACGTGGGAACCATTTTACAGACGAAAGCAACGATACTAGGTCACCAACAGCATGCAGTCGTCATTAGCCTGGTTATAGGATACAGGCTAGTGGTCACGCGTGCCTCTCGAAGATGACACAACACACACTCAACAGTGACATTGTCAAGGCACAGCAGTCTGATAACACGGTTTGTGCGTGGTTATACAAGACAAACACGCCTGTAGCTGGAATCCTGAATATTTGATGCAGCGTGACGAGAACATTGAAGTCATGTAAGAACAACCGTTAGCGGAAACCATCACAGTATTGACGTGTTCGAAAGAAAAATATTGATTAGGGTATCAAGCTGTTAGAACCGCAGGGAAAGTGCCCTGTTATGTAGTTCCACATCTGGGGCTGATGTAATGCTGTACATGTATTACATCTTACACCTGGAGACTGCTGTTATGGTATATATGTAGTAGTATGTAATTATGTATATATCATCAAGTGTATTTTAAGGTCACCTCTTATTTTAATACCTAAGTTTTAGTCTACACTCCAATCTAACCTGCTTCACTAATACAATAGCACAGTCACCCTTGCGCTTGCCTTCTCTATTGTTTCTCTGGTTTCTATTGTTTAGCCCCAGCCCCTTACTTCCAATGTAACAGGGTGCATTATGGGACTGGTCAGTTTAAATTCACACTTGTAGTTGATTATGTATGGAGCAGTCGGTTCATCTCTGATATAATTGAGACAATTGTCACAGGTTAGTTTGGTTGCATTGTATATTTATGTGTTCTTATTTAGTGCTTTGAAGAGTTTGTTAAGGTGCATATGTATGGTTTCTTAACTTCTTTTAATAATGCTTATATTGTTAGGTGTGATAAATATATATCATATCAGTCATCGTATTCAGGTAAATGTAGTTAGGCTAAATGTGCTTAAATACTTTATGTAAGTATGTTTATAATAGATAATCTTAACTAGCATTTTCATGTTGATAATACTTAACTTATTGTGTAACTAAGCATAATGAGTACATTTATTGATAGACTGGAGCTATTTACCTGTAAATTAAATGCTCTGCACCTAGCTGCACATGTATGAATGTATGTCTGTATGATGAGGTGAGTAATTAGAATATATATTTTAGGGTTATTGTATATACCTAAGGATGTAAACATATTGATGTAATATGTTACACTGTAATTATGTTATATATATTTATGTTCAGGTGTGTCCCTGTTAAGCAAATATATGATGTTATGACATCATAGGGCACAGTGCCATACACCTGGTGAGGACATTTATATTTTGTATGTATTTATAGTGATAAGTACTTTAATTGTGTGTTATGTATTAATGCATTTATCATCATTCACCTATTATTGATAAACTATGTTTGTCAATTTATTATATGATAAATCTCCTGTAATATTTACAGTACAGTAAGACAAAACTAATTATGCTAACTATGATTGATCATAACAATGTATATAATCATATTTAAGATTCTAATGTTTGTCAGTAAGTTATAATGTAATGATTTATTTGTATGTGTACGTATTGTGCATATTGTAACTCTGTGTATTTATTTTCACAGGGCCGTTTTATTTTGTATTAAAACAACTGGCATCAACAAATTAACCTGCGTTTTGTGATTCATTCACATAAACCACTCCGGTTACATTGGCGTCGTCGGCAGGATTTAACAGTTGTTGCAGTAAGGCACCCAGTGACAAGTGACAACGATGGACACTAGCTGTCCATGGAAGAACGCGACAGAGATCTGTGTGCTCCAGGACCCGTGATGTGAAATTAATGTAACTACATAATGTATCAGTTACTTTGTGCCATCATCTTTTCTTGAGCTTGCCTCTCAGTGTATAGACAGCGATAAACTTGTATTGTGCAAGAGCTTGATTGACACTTTCGTTCCATTGTATTGTGCTTTCTGTGATTGACAGTTATTCATGTGAAGAGAAGAGGATACCACTGCTGTGATCATGTATAACAGACATTTGTCTTTCCTGTATGTTTATATATAACTGTCTAATGGGTTGTCTGTTGTATATTTGACATTCACATAAAATATTTACTGCATAGATTTGTACAGTGCACTTGGTAGTCTTAATCATACCGGCCGGTCATTAGTTAGTTACCACATTAGTTAGTTAGATCATTAGTTTGTTATAACATTACTTAGTTAGATCATTAGTTAATTATTCCTTTAGTTGCTATACAGAGTTGTGTCCCTTGGGCACACAAGAAACCTATGATTATGGGTTCGAATCTCGGTTTGCCCCACTTGTGTTTCTAGATTTGGCAGCACCATACCAGTGCTGAGGGTTTAACCAGCGTAGGTGTCTAAGATCTGCCTCACTTCGGGATTTTCTCCCACTTTGAGCTGACATGCCGTGATATGACTGGAATATTGTTCAATGCGGCGTTAAACCCTCACTTACTCACTCATTTAGTTAGTTAATTAGTCTACAGATTTTTTAATTTTATGGTTAATTTGTTAGTTTCTTAGTTAAGTAGTTATTTAATTAGTGTTATTAGTTTAACTTGTATCATATTAGTACCCTTTATATAGTTATGTAATATATCTGTGTTTGTGTGAAAGAAGTATGACTGTTTAGCACTTACAAATTACTCAAACACTATTATAAGCAATAAAATCATAACATAATTTAATAATAAAACATTTAAATCAGTTTAGATATAATTGATAGGTCATAATTGTGTTTGGTTACATTCAGTTGGTCATAGAGTTTATTGATGTTGTCTTGGTAAAGTTGTACGTGTTGGGACTCTGTCTCCATACATCTTATTTTTTTCTTCTTCTTTTTTTTCTTTGTGTTTGCAGCGGTCGCACAGCTTACACTTGCACACCATTACTAACGTTTGCACTTGTCAATATACAAGTATTTTATATCTTGTGTTCTATTCAAAACAACATTGTTTAGTTAGAAGTTAGAATATACATATGCAGTTGCTATGTTGGAGATCCAGCCCAATCACTTTACTTCTCTGCTACTAGTGTCATAGATATATTTTTATTTATTTTTTGGCGCTAGTTGTTAATACTATACACAGGCATGTCTGATCAAATGTCAGAAGAGGAAATTTCGCAACTTGTTGCAACATTTCAGCAGCTAAAGGTCAAACCTAAGGCTGACTCACCAGAAACCTTGTTAAAGTGGATGTCTGAGTTTTCAACTGGCTCTGTGAAAACAGAAGATGTTTCCCATGCCTTTGGAACTCAGCATCCTAGTCACCCATCTGCAGCTCAGGTGTTTACCGTATCTCACCCTCCAAGTTTACCTTGCTTTTCGGGAGATGAAGGTAAAAGTAATGTGTCATATGACTTGTGGAGATACGAAGTGGATTGCATATTGAAGGACAAAGCACATTCAGGGGCGACAATTGAACATTCCATCAGGAAATCTTTGAGAGGGGAGGCCGCCAGAGTTGCTATGCGATTAGGTTCCACAGCTTCTCTTTCATCGCTTTTAGATAAGCTAAGGTGTGTTTATGACACAAGTGATTCTCCCGTCAACTTATTGGCAGCCTTCTACACAGCACGGCAGCGGGACGATGAGGACGTCAACACTTGGTGTTGTCGTCTAGAAGACCTACTTAGTAAGGCTGTAGACGCTGGTGAAGTTATCCATCAAGACACCAACAAGCTCCTTCACTCCATGCTTTGGACAGGACTCAAGCCATCAATCAAGGATGTCAGCGGACACAAATTTGATTTATTCTCCGATTTTGATGTTTTGCGAAGAGAACTACGGCAGATTGAGCGGGAACACAATCAACGCAGAGGTGACGGAAAGGTCAAAGGTAAACAGTCTGCAACAAGTATGGCGGCTGTAACTGAGACAACCACCCAAACAGAGTTGAAGGAACTTCGAGGAATGATCAAGAGCCTTACTTCTGAAGTTGCATCTCTCAAGAAACAACAGCAACAACCACCACAGGATCACTATCAACATCCTACAGGAGAACAAGCTCGATTTCAGTCGAAGTCCTATGATCAAACAGACAGGAGCAACACTGGATGGTATCCTCAATCTTCTTTCCAGACGCAACGGTATGACCAGTCACAATATAGAGGCAGATCTAGAGGACGACCATTTGAGAGAGATGTACAGTGCTTTCGCTGTGGACAGTTTGGACACATAGCTTCAGGATGCAGGGTCAGGATGGACCATAGTCGTCAGCATTTAAACGGGAGATGGCCTATGCGAAGGGGTGGCCCATAGGTCTCAACAAACAACAGACTGATACTCAGAGATATGATACAACAGCACTTGTAGGAAATGCCAATGAAGTCGATGTCTGTATTCAAGGAATCAAGACAAGAGCTTTATTAGACACAGGAGCTACAGTCTCCACGATGAGTCAGGCATTTTATGATCAATATCTCTCCAGTATTCCTATCACCCCCATTACAAGTGTTTTGGATGTTGAATGTGCTGATGGACAGCCTCTTCCATATACAGGTTATATTCAGGTTGACCTTGAGGTCAACGGTATTGATGCTGAATCTCAGTCATGTCTTCTACTTGTAGTTCCTACTAGTAACTATAATTACAAGGTACCAGTTCTACTTGGCACCAATATATTATCTGTTTACTTGGGAACTTGCAGACATAAGCATGGTGAAAAGTTTCTTCAAGACGCGAACCTTCACACGCCTTGGTATTTAGCTTTTAGGTGTATGGTGCTACAGGAACGCGATCTTGTAAGAAGAAATTTTCAGCTGGGATTAGTCAAGTGCGCAGGAGTTAAGAAGGTTATCATCCCACCCAACTCAGACGTCACTATCTCGGGCTATATTGACAAGGCGCTTCCCTATCGCAGTACATGTGCTATATTGCAAAGTACTGGCCGTTCAGCTATCCCCGATGATCTTGACATCTCACCCAGTTTGATCACTTACAGAGAGAAAGGATTCGTGGATGTCAACATTTCCAACATTACCACAAGGACAGTAGTCATTCAACCTCATGCCATTCTTTGTGAGATCCAGCCTGTCTTTGTTGAAGAACAGCCTACCTTGGAAGACAATTCTCAGGACAGCACTTCTCTCATTAATAAGATGGACATAGAATCTTCAAGAATTTCAACCACTCAGCATGAAGAGGGATTGAAAGTCATCTCAGACTATTTAGATATTTTCTCTCATGGTGACCTTGACCTTGGACACACTAGTACAGTGAAACATAGGATCGACCTCATTGATGAACGACCTTTCAAACAACGACATAGGAGAATTCCACCATCCATGCATAACGAAGTAAGAGATCATCTACATCAACTATTAGCTAGTGGAGTCATTCGTCGATCACGATCACCTTGGTCTTCTAATGTGGTGTTAGTACGCAAGAGGAATGGATCTTTGAGGATGTGCATTGATTTTAGACAGTTGAATCAAAGGACAGTTAAAGATTCATACGCTCTGCCACGGATTGAAGAGATGTTTGACACCCTCAGAGGATCCAGATTCTACTCCACAATGGATATGAAGAGTGGATATCACCATGTCGAATTAGAAGAACATCACAAGGAGAGAACAGCTTTTTCTGTGGGACCCCTTGGATTCTATGAATTCAACCGGATGCCCTTTGGTTTATGCAACAGTCCTGCCACTTATCAACGCCTCATGAATGACTGTTTTGAAGATATGCATCTCCAGATATGCCTTATCTACATGGATGATATCATCATCTTTGCTGATACATTTGAAGAACATCTTGACAGGTTGAAGAAGGTATTTCAGAGACTCAAAGACTGTGGATTCAAGCTTGCTCCAGATAAATGTAGTTTCTTCAAGGACAAGATCAAGTTTTTAGGTCATATCATTTCGGAACAAGGCATCGAACCAGATCCAGCTAAAGTTGAAAAGATAAAGTCATGGCCCCCACCAAAGAATCCAACCGAAGTGAGACAGTTTCTTGGATTTGCAGGGTATTATCGGAGATTTGTGCAGAACTTTGCTGCAATCACCAAGCCCCTGTCAAGTCTTATGCCTCCACCAACGCAGACAAAGAGAACAAGAAAGATATTGAGTCAACAACCATGGACATGGGGACCTGAGCAAGACAAGGCATTCCATTACTTAAAAGAACTTCTGGTTTCACCTCCTATTCTGGCCTATGCAGATTACAGTCTACCATTTGAGCTCCATACAGATGCCAGCACACATGGACTTGGCGCTGTTCTCTATCAAGAGCAGGGAGGACAGAGATGAGTGATTGCGTATGCTAGTAGAGGACTGAACAAAGCTGAGAAGAACTATTCTGCACATCGTCTAGAGTTTCTAGCTTTGAAGTGGGCAATTACTGAAAAGTTCAACGATTACCTCTATGGTACCAAGTTCAGAGTTTATACAGATAACAACCCGTTGACCTACATTCTCACTTCAGCAAAGCTTGATGCAACAGGACATCGGTGGTTAGCAGCCTTGGCAGCGTATGACTTTGACATCAAGTACCGCCCAGGGATTAACAATGCAGATGCAGATGGTATGTCACGTTTACCAGGAATAACGACACGTGGAGACCAGGAGCATATGTCGGGCGAATCAGTAAAGGCTGTATGTAACATCATTCATGCCCAACCTTATGTGGAGAGTTTATGTATGCAGGCGGACGTTACCCACGAAGAGAACCTCGACACTATTGGTGTTCCTCTAGCAAGGATGTCACATAGGGACTGGAGGAAAGCGCAGTACCAAGATCCTATCTTACGACAATGGACAAGATGTTTACAGTCTGGCAACAAACCAAGGAGACATGACTTCTGTGATTCCAATGCTCATTCAGTTTTGCTCAAGATCTCAAGTAATCTCCATCTTCAGCGGGGAATTATCTACAGAGAAGTAATAATCAACGGAGAAACTAGACAACAGTTGGTATTACCGGCAGACTACATTCAAGATGCATTAGAAGGTCTTCATAACAGCGTGGGTCATCCAGGAAGAGACAGAACCTTGGCACTCTTGAGAGACAGAGTCTTCTGGCCAGGTATGTCTAAGGATGTTGATGACTGGATTAAGAATTGCAGAAGATGCATCTGTCGGAAGACTCCAACCAACCAGAGAGCTCCACTCATTGGAATTGAGACTACTCAGCCACTAGAGCTGGTGTCCATGGATTTCTTGGACCTTGAACTATGCAAGGGAGGGAAGCACAATGTGTTAGTTGTTACGGACCACTTCACTAGATATGCACAGGCATATGTTACCAACAACATGACAGCCAAAGTCACCGCTAAAGCCTTCTTTGACAACTTCATTGTTCATTATGGGATTCCACAGCGGATACACTCTGATCAAGGTGCTAACTTTGATGGGAATCTCATAAAGGAATTGTGCTTACTTACAGGCATGAAGAAGTCCAGAACCACACCATATCATCCCATGGGCAATGGCATGTGTGAGAGGTTCAATCGCACTTTATGTGACATGTTGGGAACCTTATCACCTGACCAGAAGAGTGATTGGAAATCACATATTGGGCCTCTTGTACATGCCTATAACTGCACAAGGCACGAGTCAACTGGACAGTCACCATTCTTTTTAATGTTTGGTAGAGAGCCACGTCTTCCTTTAGATCTTGCTTTTGGGCTTGAACTTGGTTTGACACAGTCACTTGCAGAGTACACCCGATTACTCAGAGAAAGATTGAAGAAATCTTATGAACTGGCTGTGGCCTCAGCTAAAACATCTCGAGAGAGGCAGAAGAAAGGCTACGACATTAGAGTGAGAGGAGCCACACCACAGACTGGAGACCGCGTTCTAGTGAAAATATTGCCATTTGATGGTAAACACAAGCTCTCAGATAAGTGGGAAGAAGATCCTTACATCATTCTGCAACAGCCAAATCAAGATGTGCCCGTCTTTGTAGTGCAGAAAGAGAATGGTGAAGGTCGACAGAGGACTTTACATAGGAATCTTCTCTTGCCCATTGGTGCTCTTCATGACCCTGGAGAGATTGAATCATCACAAGAACCAGAGCCTATATCATCCAGACCTGTACCAAGGCCAAGGCGGTCTAAGCCACAACCAAAGCCAGAGACACTCCCAGATGAAGCAATTGGTCAGGAAGACATCATTGTAGAGATCCACACCCCAAATAGAGATGCTGCAGCTGCTGGTATCCCCACAGATACCAATCAGGAAGTTCCTGCAGATATGGATACTGCTACTCAGGCAAGTGGTGACGATCATGAGGCTGAGGCAGCAGTGGAGAACATTTCTGGTGACGACGGTCACATCCCAGGAGAGGGAGAAACAGAGGTGTATCCTACTGATGATGAAGTGGATGAAGATGCTGGTGCTACTACTCCAGATCTACACGAAGATGATGTCATTCCTTCAGCTGAAGACGAAACTAAAGATGATGATACAGTTCTGGATCAAGTTCCTTCAGCTGAAGCAGAACATGTTGACGAGATGGATGTCACAGGTGATGCTGTTCCAGATACAGACGGAGCTGATGTTGTTCCACGAAGGTCAACACGTGAACGACACCCTCCAAGTTGGATGCATTCAGGGCAGTATGCGCTTAGTCAGGCAGCAGTAGAGCCAGATTGGATGGTTAGGGTTCGTTATCTGGAGCATTTAACGAGCGCTGGAACATTGGAACAGACTACACCGGACATCACGAAAGCATTTATATCTATTTTAACACGCCAAAACTCAGAATGACGAAGACGTCATTTCCGTGGGGAGGGAAGAATGTAGTAGTATGTAATTATGTATATATCATCAAGTGTATTTTAAGGTCACCTCTTATTTTAATACCTAAGTTTTAGTCTACACTCCAATCTAACCTGCTTCACTAATACAATAGCACAGTCACCCTTGCGCTTGCCTTCTCTATTGTTTCTCTGGTTTCTATTGTTTAGCCCCAGCCCCTTACTTCCAATGTAACAGGGTGCATTATGGGACTGGTCAGTTTAAATTCACACTTGTAGTTGATTATGTATGGAGCAGTCGGTTCATCTCTGATATAATTGAGACAATTGTCACAGGTTAGTTTGGTTGCATTGTATATTTATGTGTTCTTATTTAGTGCTTTGAAGAGTTTGTTAAGGTGCATATGTATGGTTTCTTAACTTCTTTTAATAATGCTTATATTGTTAGGTGTGATAAATATATATCATATCAGTCATCGTATTCAGGTAAATGTAGTTAGGCTAAATGTGCTTAAATACTTTATGTAAGTATGTTTATAATAGATAATCTTAACTAGCATTTTCATGTTGATAATACTTAACTTATTGTGTAACTAAGCATAATGAGTACATTTATTGATAGACTGGAGCTATTTACCTGTAAATTAAATGCTCTGCACCTAGCTGCACATGTATGAATGTATGTCTGTATGATGAGGTGAGTAATTAGAATATATATTTTAGGGTTATTGTATATACCTAAGGATGTAAACATATTGATGTAATATGTTACACTGTAATTATGTTATATATATTTATGTTCAGGTGTGTCCCTGTTAAGCAAATATATGATGTTATGACATCATAGGGCACAGTGCCATACACCTGGTGAGGACATTTATATTTTGTATGTATTTATAGTGATAAGTACTTTAATTGTGTGTTATGTATTAATGCATTTATCATCATTCACCTATTATTGATAAACTATGTTTGTCAATTTATTATATGATAAATCTCCTGTAATATTTACAGTACAGTAAGACAAAACTAATTATGCTAACTATGATTGATCATAACAATGTATATAATCATATTTAAGATTCTAATGTTTGTCAGTAAGTTATAATGTAATGATTTATTTGTATGTGTACGTATTGTGCATATTGTAACTCTGTGTATTTATTTTCACAGGGCCGTTTTATTTTGTATTAAAACAACTGGCATCAACAAATTAACCTGCGTTTTGTGATTCATTCACATAAACCACTCCGGTTACATATACATATTACATCTTAATTACACCCCATGAGACTGCTGTTATGGAATATACATATTACATCTTACACCTGGAAACTGCTGTTATGGCATATACATGTTACATCTTACACCTGGAGACTGCTGTTATGGCTTATACATATCACATCTTACACCTGGAGACTGCTGTTATGGCGTATACATATTAATCTTACATCAGGAGACTTCCGTTATGGCATATACTTATTACATCTTACACCTGGAAACTGCTGTTATAGCATATACATGTTACATCTTACACCTGGAGACTGCTGTTATGGCTTATACATATCACATCTTACACCAGGAGACTGCTGTTATGGAATATACATATTACATCTCACACCAGGAGACTGCTGTGATGGTGTATATATCACATCTTACACCAGGAGAGTGCTGTGATGGTGTATATATCACATCTTACACCTTGAGACTGCTGTGATGGTGTATATATCACATCTTACACCAGGAGACTGCTGTGATGGTGTATATATCACATCTTACACCTGGAGACTGCTGTGATGGTGTATATATCACATCTTACACCAGGAGACTGCTGTGATGGTGTATATATCACATCTTACACCAGGAGACTGCTGTGATGGTGTATATATCACATCTTACACCAGGAGACTGCTGTGATGGTGTATATATCACATCTTACACCAGGAGACTGCTGTGATGGTGTATATATCACATCTTACACCAGGAGACTGCTGTGATGGTGTATATATCACATCTTACACCAGGAGACTGCTGTGATGGTGTATATATCACATCTTACACCTGGAGACTGCTGTGATGGTGTATATATCACATCTTACACCAGGAGACTGCTGTGATGGTGTATATATCACATCTTACACCAGGAGACTGCTGTGATGGTGTATATATCACATCTTACACCAGGAGACTGCTGTGATGGTGTATATATCACATCTTACACCAGGAGACTGCTGTGATGGTGTATATATCACATCTTACACCAGGAGACTGCTGTGATGGTGTATATATCACATCTTACACCAGGAGACTGCTGTTATGGCGTATACATATTAATCCTACATTAGGAGACTTCTGTTATGGCATATACTTATTACATCTTACACCAGGAAACTGCTGTTATGGCATATACATATTACATCTTACACCAGGAGACTGCTGTTATGCATATGGCCATCATGAAGTTTCTCATGCAGGTTAGCCCAAGATTTGGTTAATAAATGTTTGCAAAAGCTAGAATATTGTCGACTGTTGAACAACACACACTCACAACTTGTAAAAACTTGTAATGTGTGTGAAAAGTCATACTAGAATACGCTATTTGAAGGGGGCATGGCCTAAATGCAAATGTCCGATTGTGATTTTAAATTTTCCGGACCCCTGCTCACAAGAAGTGTGCTGGTCCTGTTCGTTAAATGAGCTCTCCTGTAAGTGAGGTGAAATTGGCTTAACATCACGTCCAAGATTATTGCACTTATACAGCGACGTGCATGCACGTGTGTTTGTGTGTGTGTCTGCTTGTACTAGTCTGGACTGATGCGGATTTATAGTGCTAGCCCACTGAGATACCATGCCGCAGTTGAACATGAATACCCCTCTCAGACACAGTATGCTGACTCCGAGCCGACCAGTCCTTGTTTTAGCCTCTTAATGCCGAGCTCCAGACTGGGTAACAACAACCACCTTTTAACGTCTTTTGGTATGACGTGGTCGGACCTTCTGCTCTCCGGGCAGACGCTCTACCACTAGACCATGGAGGAGGTTATATTTATAAGTAATATCAGTCCAACACGTACGTCAAACACACTTGTATCAGGTGCAAGTGGAGTCGTAATGAACTCCTGCGAATCATATCCCCTCCTCATTAATAAAACACAACAAATAAACCATTGTACATCTATATTTAATTCATAATAAGATGATGTAAATTGCTCACAAATTGTAAGAAATTGGAAAATATGACATTTCTGTAGTCAACATACACACAAAAGAGGTATACATATTTGAAAACATAACAAGAAAAACATTCAAAGCTGTTGCACACAAGTCTGGTTTTAGAGAGCAACGATGAAGCAACATGGTGGTATCAGAGCAGGAGCCAAAATGTAAGAAAATTCACAAACTTTTAAGAAATACATTTAAAAATTTTAACAAATAACTAAAGTGCATTTATAGCATTTTACACACCACAATATATGAAATATTTAGGATAATAAAGCTGTGTAATGGGCTAACTTAACTGATTGCCAGCTGCAAATATTAAGTCTCAGGGCTATTTCCTGGATTGATGTACAAGTCAAGGGAGACAACTCAAAGTGACCTTGATTTGTGAATAATGTCCCTTTGGTCTTTGTGTCCAGGGTTGCTCCCAGCCATTAGCTGCAACTTGTGGGTGTTCAGTGTTCAAATAATGGACACTGAACCTTACATTGTAAAATCAATAAATACTTTTAGTCCAGACCAATTTAATTACTTGGCTCACAGATCCCAGGCTGTCACTCTTTCACCAATATTAAACACCCAAAAAAACTGTTACAGGAAATACTCATGTTTTTATCTTAAAATATTTAACTATACATAATCTGAAGCTTTCGTTCTCCTGAAAGCTTAAGATTAGGTATATTTATATATTTATTTGAATTCCCCTATGGGATATAAATAAGATTCAAAATACATAGTCACAATGACTATTTGACTGTTGACTTTCCTGCTCATTTTAGCAAAGACTTCACTGAAATCTGTAAGATACACAAGAAAAAAAGACTGTCATGTAAATATTCAAGCTTATTACAGGGCTCCTATAAATATTACTTCCTGATGAAATTTGAAGTTGGCCAGGGGAACTTTTGGGAATGGAATGCTTAATAAACAGAAAACATTATTGCCTTTAGTCATGGATATTTTTTCATTTTGAAAGTGATTGTACTTTTACTTTTGTTTCCTCATATCTTTTGGGAGACCCAAATCTGTAAACCAAGTTCTGTTTGTTTGTTTATTTGTTTAATGACGCACTCAGAAATTTTCCAGCTATATCACAGCGGTCTGTAAATGATCCAGTGATTGACATTATGAGCATTGATCCACGTGATTGGGATACGATGACATGCATCAACCAAGTCAGCGAGCCTGGCCACCTGATCCCTTTAGTCGCCTCTTTTATGGCAAGCATGGTTTGCTGAAGACCTATTCTACCCTGGATCTCTACGGGTCTGTGAACAAAGTAATTGAATTGGTCTGGTTGTAACATGGTTTTAATGAATATACATTCCAGTTTACAGGGCTGCCAAACATCACACTGTGTCATCGTGCTGAACCAGTCTGCCATATAGTGTGTGGCAATCATCCACAGAACACATCACATACCTCATCACTCCCACTGTTTCATCATATGAAATATAATCATCATATTGACAGTCATTGTCAATATTGCGTAGAATTCATATGAAATATAATCATCATATTGACAGTCATTGTCAATATTGCGTAGAATTCATATGAAATATAATCATCATATTGACAGTCATTGTCAATATTGCGTAGAATTCATATGAAATATAATCATCATATTGACAGTCATTGTCAATATTGCGTAGAATTCATATGAAATATAATCATCATATTGACAGTCATTGTCAATATTGCGTAGAATTCATATGAAATATAATCATCATATTGACAGTCATTGTCAATATTGCGTAGAATTCATATGAAATATAATCATCATATTGACAG